TTCCTTCAATGCCCTCCTTCTTCATATACACCCACTTGCAACCAATAGCCTTTCGTCCCTTTGGAAGCTCGACAAGCTCCCATGTGTCGTTCCTATGAAGAGACTCAATCTCTTCCTACATAGCCACTTGCCACAAATCAGCCTCCGAACTCTGCTCAGCCTTTCTGAATATAGTAGAAACCATCTCATTGACACTCTCCACCATAAGTGCATACACAACGACTGTGTCTGTATACCTCGTTGGCGTTCGTATGCCTCTCCTCTGTCTTCGAACCATAATAGAATCCTGAACCTGGGTTGTTGGTCCCTGATCCTACTTAACTGTACTTGTATCCGCCAAATCATCATCGTGCTCATCTGGTGTCACCTCAGTCGGCACTCTAATAGATACAATCATCTGGATAATGTGGACCTGCATCAATCTCCATCACCTGAGAAATCTTCTTTGTTGGGGTGCTCTCCACCTGATGAGAGTTGGAAATCTTTAAGATCGAAGCCTCATCGAATGTGACATCTCTACTCAGCACAATCTTCTTATCAACCCGTAGGCTGTTTAAAAGTTACTTCAGATAGCTGATCCTCATCAAACACCGATGATGAAAGTTATAATTTGACGGCTTCTAGAATGCTACAATTTAAAAACTTTCACGTAGATCGATGAAAGTTATAATCTGACGACCTTCACAACAACCGATGAAAGCTCTGATTCAACAACCCTCACAATCAACATCAGGAGATATAATATAATGACTCTTATATTTTTTTAGGAGCCAAGACAAAAGTTACAAGATGATGATCTTTGCAATGCTCTAGCAAAAAAGACTACAAATTGACGGTCACTTCAAGTCAAAATTGTAGATATCTCTCAAACCGTAAAGAATTTGGCGAAACAAGTAGGAGCAAACCTAACCCTTTGGGTAGGTTTGGTCAGCTCCGTCTCATCGAGATAGTCGATTTTATATATAATTTGTCTAATTTTGAGTTACGGTTAAAAGTTATGACCTGTTATTCGTTGCAAGTTATATTCTGAAGTCTGTCTGCAAGACTGGACTTTGCCTGAACATTGGACTTCGCCTGAAGCTCGTTTGGAGCTCATCTGAGGCTCTCCTCAGCACAAATATTTTTCATTTTAATTTTGCTTACTAACATAGAATATAGATTCATTTCATCTTTAGCAATAAACTATTTGTTGTAGAATAAATCTAAGAAGGGATCAGCGAATCGAAATAGCAAGCGTAAGATTAACCACCATTTGGGATCAACATCGTTCGCTAATCTTGCGTATAGTTATTGTCAATGTATGATATATTATAAAAAGTTTTGTATTCGCTTATTTTGTCAATATGGCCCACCTCTTTTAACTTTTTTAATTTGTAGGGGAAGCTGATAATGCCGATCAGTTTAAAGGCTAAGTTAGCTTATGATACCTTTCGCAAGACATATAAAAATGATGAGAAGATTAAGGAAAACATGTTTGGTGTTGGTACATTTTTTGAATAAATCATTATATAATAAGTATTCTGTTGATATTCAATCTTTTTATTTGCCAATCAATGATATATCTTTTCTCTAATGTGATTTAGGATAATATTAATGCTGCGTCAAAGGAGGCAGCACTAAGTGCTACCCAGGAAGCAACTGATGACCCTCACATCCTCTTTATAGAGGAAAATTGTAGCATTGCTCTGAATGTTATGGGGCATAATAACAGGGGTAGATTTCCATTTGCGGGGGCTGGAGCTGTACGGGGCACACACACAATTTCCTCCATGACGTCCTCACCATCTCTGACTTAATTTGATAGGATCCTCAGCAAGAACTCTTGTCATGTCAGCAATTCTGTGTATCTCATCTTATTTGCATGGTAAGATCGATATTGTATTACTTGTATAGGTGACGAAGGCTATGTTCTCAAATTTGCCAGCAGCTCCCACAATGGACGAAGTTTTGATTCACATCATATTATGCTTGTCCAATAAGATTCTAGTTGAATTGTTTAGAGACATTGTATCACTTTTAGACTTAGAAACCAATGATATTGGATCTGGTCAAACCGGTGCACGGGTATATGTTGTTAATATGTGTGTATTGTATTGCTAAATTTCCTATTCAGAAAAATATTTATTTATTCTCAGGCTGAAGTTGCCAGGGGAGCAGTAGCGGCATGTAGAAGAGGGATGTCGACAAGGACGATGACTTGTGATTTTCTGTGGTGAGTTTTTATTTGTATATCTTAAAATCTATGATTGCTTTTAGTACAAGAGAAGTATAGAATTTTAGTGACTTTGTTACTGCAAGCTAGTATATGTATTATTGTAATCATCCATGCGTATCTGATACTATGCCTTTTGTGTTTGGTTTGAATAAACTTTTTATGCTGTTCACTTGTCTGCTATTATATATATGTTGCTTTTTGTTTGATTAGTTTGTCTCTATATTAGTTCACCTTTTTCCTGATACTGCAAGTTGGTTATCAGTAGCACATGTCATTTAAAGCATTAAACTTATTATCCTTATTTCTATATTTAATTAGTTCATACTTATATTGATATCATATTCATGAAAGTTGTACACTTTCCTTCAGTAACTATATAGGGCTGTTTGTTTGCCTAAAAAAAAGAGGGAAATCAAAGAAAAGAAAACCTATTTCTAAGAAAAATAGGTTTTGGGATTGTTTGGTTGGCTAAAAAAAGAAGGAAATCAAAGAAATAGAGATGAGATGAGATGAGTTGTCACCTTATTATAGGATGATGTGAGTGATTTTTTAGAAAACTTGTTTTGATGTTGTTTGGTTAGCGAAAAAAAATAAGAAAATGAATTATAAGAAACCTATTTCTTGTATTAGGTTGTTTTCTTTTGTTTGGTTATTTCTTAAAAATAAGAAAATAGATGAGATGAGATGAGTTGTCATTATATTATTAGATGATGTGACACACACTTAACGAAATTGTTTTCCTAGCTTTTTGGGAGGAAAACAAAGAAATGAAATGTTAATGAGATGAGATGAGTTGTCTGGGAGGAAAACAAAGAAATGAAATGTTAATGAGATGAGATGAGTTGTCACAATCTTATTGGATGATGTAAGTGATTTTTAAATATGAGATGAGATGAGTTGAGTGATGTTGTGGATGAAAATAATATTTTATCAGATGTGGTGGATGTGATGGATGCGTTGTTGGATGAAAATAATATTTTATTAGATGTGATGGATGAGTTGTTGGATAAAAATAATATTTTATTAGATGTTGTGGGTGAGTTTTAGGGATGGAAATGTGTAAAATTGTACTTTTTGAGATTTCTTGGTTTTCATTTCTATTTTTTGGTTTTTTAGGAAATAACCAAACAGACCCTATATTGAACTGAACATATAAAAAGTTGGAACATGGAGCGCATGGTTGTGGTCAAATCAATCTTGTATTTGCCTTATTACATATTTGACCATAAATAGTAATATGAATTAACCTTTCTTTTATTTTTTATTTTCCCCCCATCCAACTAAAGTTGTTCTAAAAACCATCTATAGCTTCTATCTCTCAATTACAAGCCATCCCATGGCCATGGATAAATCTCGCATTCTCTTCAGTGTACACATGAGTCTCCTTCTCCAATTAACCTGAGATATTAGCACAAAAATCATTATTTCAGTACAATTAGTATAATCTATATTTAATAATGATCAAAGAAATATGCTTATGTTTGATGCACACTCCTGTTCATGCTTATGTTTGATGCACACTCCTGTTCATTGTGGTCGAGGAAACAAAGGACTCCCTATGCAAATGATGGTACATGAGCAGTGTTTGTGACTATATTTGCGTCAACATTAATTGTGTCATGGCATAGTTAATATCCTCATGAAGAAGCCTTTGACTATCAAAATATGTCTTTGAATGATAAAATACTTAAAACTCACAGGTAACGTCTTTAAAAAATAATGGAATTATTTGTTATGAAACAATGAGAAGTAGTAACTCACATTTGAAAACATGCTTCAAGAGTGTTATAAGGGCCTGTTTGTTTGCCTAAAAAAATTGAAATCAAAGAAATGAAAAACTATTAAATTAAAGAATTGTTTTGAGAGTGTTTGGTTTGCTAAAAAAAGAAGAAAATCAAAGAAATGAAGATGAGTTGTCACCTTATTATAGGATGATGTGAGTGATTTTTTAAGAAAACTTGTTTTGATGTTGTTTGGTTGGCGAAAAAAATAATGAAATAAATTATAAGAAACCTATTTCTTGTGATAGGTTGTTTTCTTTTGCTTGGTTATTTCTTAAAAATAAGAAAATATATGAGATGAGATGAGTTGTCATTATATTATTAGATGATGTGACCCACACTTAAGGAAATTGTTTTCCTAGTTTTTTGGGAGGAAAACAAAGAAATGAAATGTTAATGAGATGAGATGAGTTGTCACAATCTTATTGGATGATGTGAGTAATTTTTAAATATGAGATGAGATGAGTTGAGTGATATTGTGGATGAAAATAATATTTTATTAGATGTGGTGGATGTGATGGATGAATTGTTGGATGAAAATAATATTTTATTAGATGTGATAGATGAGTTGTTGGATAAAAATAATATTTTATTAGATGTTGTGGGTGAATTTTAGGGATGAAAATGTGTGAAATTGTACTTTTTGAGTTTTCTTGGTTTGAATTTTTATTTTTTGATTTTTTAGGAAATAACCAAAACAGCCCCTAAATTGAAAAGAAAACTTCCTTGTGACTGAAGAGACCTGCCTGTAGTATCCGAGCTTGAACTTACTACCTTGTAGTTTAATTGTTGTCTTGTATGGTCTAATTGCACATAGACCCCCTGTAGTATCCCTGTTTGAACTTACTACCTTGTAGTTTAATTGTTGCAGAGCTTGAACTTACTACTTTATTTATGTGAGATAAATAATGTCCAGGGTTTATACGGACCTTCACCAAAACTTCAGGGGGTTATGTGAAATTGAGTCAGAGAATGAAAACCCTAGCTTTTCAAATTTCTGCCTCCCCTCATTTCCCTCTATAAAAACCTCGCTAGGGCAACGGGCAAAGCCTCATCCGTTGGCGTCTTCACACACGCCCCACCTCTCTCCTCTCTCTCACATAGATCTCATCCCCATTTCGATTTCCCGCCCTTTTCATCGAAAATGAGAGAGTGCATCTCGATCCACATCGGCCAGGCCGGTATCCAGGTCGGAAACGCTTGCTGGGAGCTCTACTGCCTCGAACATGGGATCCAGGTTCAGCTCTCTCTCTCTCTCTCTCCAGATCTCTATCTTTTTTTCTTGTTCTTTTTGGAATTTAATGGTTATAGCTTTAATTCGAACTTTATGCCTAGATCTGTATCGATTGACTTTAGATCTCAGTAGATCGACTATATTCTTCCTAGATTTCCATGTTTCGGCTCATATTCTCATGGATCTAGTGATCTAGGGTTTATCCCTTAGATTTCTGTATTTTTCTTGTTTTTTCCTCAATTTTTTTTGGGAAATTAATGGTTTTATGAGTCTCGTTTCAAAATTAATGCCTAGATCTGTATCGATCGACATTAGATCTCTGTAGATCCACCGTATTTTCTCTGATTCGGTGTTTTTTGCTCATATAATCATGGATCTAGTGATTTCGTTAAGATCTGTATGCTTTGGCTAATTTCTTTCATTTCTTGAAAGTAATGTGGATGTCTGGGTTCGTTTTTTGGGATTTTATGGTTATATTAGTCTTGATTTAAACTTGACAGCTAGATCTGTATCGATTAACATTATATATCTGTAGATCGGTTATGTTTTTGATTGATTTCGAGTTATTGCTTATGTAGTCATGGATCTCGTTGTGATACCTCACAACACCGCACTTTTTTTTATTGGATGCATAGATTTAAGGCCAACCCTGAAGTTTACAGTTAGATTATTCAATTTTTTGGATGTCCTCTCAGACTTAACATTGTTTACTGTAATTTGGTCTTCCTCCTTTTATATACATGGATATATTGTTATAATTGTTTTTTGTGATAGATCTCTTTACATTAGAGCATCTCCAATGATATACTCTATATTTAGGGGGTTTGAAGAGAATATTCTTCAAGATTCCTCAAATATAGAGGGTTTTCAAAAGTTGTGTTCTAATGGTGCCCTCTATATTTATATTAATTAATTATCATTAACAAACTAATGATGTAAATAAAATAATTAAAACTTAACTTTTTTTGTACAAAAATTAAACTTTTAGAACCGTCTTGTCGAAACCTTTTAAATGAGATTAATATTGAATATTTTTAGAGTCATTTTTAAATTAGTTCATTTTAATATAATAAAATAAAAATATCCATTAATAAAACAAATACGGTGGGATCTATATAACCCGCCCCAAATGAACTACATTCAGAAATATAGAAATTATATTATATAAGTAAAATACGGTAACAATAATCTAAAATTTCGATAGGTCATTTCCATAGCTATTGGTGTCGTACTGATACCCTGACAGACCCTAATATCCAGTTCCCCCTGAAACATGAGTTGAACTATCAAATAGAAAATCACCGCTATTTTTGCTAATGATTTGTTGTTTTTTCCTCTCAAAAAATGCTCGTTCCCTTACATCAACAATCTTACTCAAATCAATTGATAGTATTTCTCTATCCTCACGATCACACTCAAGACGAAATTGCTCATGTTATTGAGTCAAGAGTTGATTGTGTTGTTCTAATTGTACAGCCCGTTGATCTAATTTTTTTTTTATCATTTTCTAATTTCATCATCATTAGTTGTTGCATGGTTTTCCTTCATAGCTCACGTTTTTCCTACATTTCTTTGGTATTCTTAAGAATATCAACATCACACTCAGATGGGGAGAGGATCTTTCTCTTCGCCTTTTCCGCCTTTCTTCCATCAAGTCGACTTGATGAGGCGTTGGTAGGAGATTGTTCATCACCCATCAGATTAATGCAGTCCATTGAGTTCGACATTTGAGATGTGTCCAGACACGACCATCATTGAAGGTGTAGGGTCAGCCCATTTCTCAGCATCCTTTAGAATATGCCAAATGTGTTCATATTGAAACTCTTTCTTATCTTTAGATTCTTGCTCATACAGAACTTTAGTTTTAATAAGCTAATATAAGAAAAGTTAGAAATTTTTAGAATAACAAAATGTGATAAATTTAAAGTTAGATACTTACTATATTCAATTCAGAAGCACCACTTGGATTAAGCCGCTCGATATGTCGAATGCAACCCTTGAACTTATTTATGACTTTCTTAATTAAGTCCCAATGACTTTCAAGTGATCTTTGGCTCCTTTGGTCTCCGCCAAAATCTTTTACATTCTGATGATAAAGTGTTGTGATCCTCACCAACATTGTTTCCTTCCTCTGATTAGTACCCAAGATTGGATCTTGGGAAACTTCAAGCCATGCTGAGCATAAGACTTGATCTTCTTTATGGGAGAATGCCTTTCCTCGAGAAGCCATATGAGTTGTGAATGAGAAGAGTTGTGAATGAGAGAATGAGAATAGATGTGAATGCATTGCTTAAATAGAGGTGAATGAGATTGGAATCCAATGCTGGGTAGTGGACAAAATGATTAAAGATGAGATGAGATTGGAATCCAATGATTAAAGATGAGATGAGGTTAATCATTTTGTCCACTACCCAGTGTTGGATTCCAATTTCATTCACCTCTATTTAAGCCACTGTTTTCAATGCGTGAGGCGCAATTCGGGGCTCAAAGTCTGTTTATGCGTACATGCGCAAGGCGCAATGCGATGCGCGCGCCCGAGCGAAGCGATATGCACTCCAGACCACAAAAATTGAGATATACAAGATGAATGGAAAAAATATATTTGTGAAATTTCACATACTCAAGATTAATAAAATATATATCAGTATACTACCAGATCACTAACAACTATAATTTCCATTTAATCATGCAAATTATTCAAACTTTCATACTAGTATATTGCATCACTAACAACTATATTGCTAAATTTCATTTACAGGTTATTTTCCTTCTTTACAGGTTATAAATGACGAATCAAGTATATAGTTTCAACTATTAGCAGTCGCACTACAACCTAGCTCAACTAGCAACTTTCAAGTTTCAAAAAGCATGAACAAATCTTGTACATAAATCACTTTAATGATCCAGTTGATCTTGGCCTTTTGTTGATAAAATGACATCTTAGCAGTTACAAGAGAAATAATTTATAGAGTAGAAGCTTTTTTTTATCAATTCATGGTTAAGTTCAACTTGGACGTCAGACAGATTCAACTTTGCTCCGGCAACATGTGAGCTAATATGATTGAAATATTTATTATTGAGCTCTTTAAGTTCAACTGAAACATGCGACATCCTTTTAACTCTTTGATTCTATACTCATTGAACAATGCTACTGAAATGGGGATGATCTGCCTACATATTAAAAAAATCTAAAATGTTTTTTTACCTTTACAATGATCTTAATAAACTATAATAATTTCTAAAGAATGGTCTAAAAATGATGAACGTAGAAATTCCACAAAGCTAGAATTATATGCATATATTCAGTCACCATTGATAAAATAATAATCAAATTTTTGGGAGAGCAGCTGCCACAATAACAACAGTAACAACATTGTTACTGTTAAAACATGTACATTTAAAATAGATCGGGGGCGTTGAAAAACAAAAAGAAAAAAGAAAACTGGAAAAAACTGAAACGCAAAAAGAAAACTAAAAAAAGGAGAAGAAGACAAAACGAAAACAAAAAGAAAACTGGAAAACAAAAAGAAAACTAAAAAAACTAGAAAAAAGTGGGAAGGAGAAGAAGATAGAGAAAAAAAGGAGAAGAAAACGAAATGAAGAACAGAGCAACAATAACAACATTTTAACACTAAATTTCCGTGAGAACAGTAACAACATGTTAAAATAACGTACAGTAAAAAGAAAAGAAAATATTTGAGAAATATCGTTGAGGATACGCAAAGAAGGGTTCAAAACAAAATGAAACTAGAAAACAAAAAGGAAATAGAAAGAAATTGAAAAATAAAAGAAAACTGGAAAAAAAGAGAAGTACCTGCTCGTCGTGGCCTGTCGCCCGTCACTGTCGCCCTGCTGAGTGGAGACCGCAACTTATTTTTCGCTTTTGGAAGAAAATAGTTGGAGAAGGAGCGACGAAAGTTACGAAACGTGGAAACCCTAGCCCTAGCCGCTAGATGCTTAAATTTGCTTTCGGGTTCAAGTCAAAGTCGGGTATGTACCCAATAACCGATTGAAGCTTACCTGTTACTAAAGCGAACGCCTGGGCGAGTGCATCGGGCGCTGTGGGGCGCTCCTCAGGCACGCGTCCGACGCAAGTGTAGCGCTCCGCAGCAGGTGCGGGGTGCTATTCCATTGCGCCGAAGCGCCTCGCGCCCGAGGCGCGCGCCTTAATACGCCTTTAAAATCACTGATTTAAGCAATACATTCACAACTATTCTCATTCTCTCATTCACAACTCTTCTCATTCACAACTCATATGGCTTCTCGAGGAAAGTCATTCTCCCACAAAGAAGATCAAGTCTTATGCTCAGCATGGCTTGAAGTGTCTCAAGATCCAATCTTGGGTACTAATCAGAGGAAGGAAACAATGTAGGTGAGGACAAAGCTCTTTATCATCAGAATATAAAAGATAATAAATAGTTTCCATATGAACACATTTGGCATATTCTAAAGGATGTTGAGAAGTGAGCTAACCCTACACCTTTAAAGATGGTCGTGTTTGGAACCATCTCAAATGCCGAAGGATCAGATTCGAACTCAATGGACTGCATTAATCTGATGGGTGAAGAACAATCTCCTACCAACGCCTCATCAAGTCGACCCGTTGGAAGAAAGGCGAAGAGAAAGATCCTCTCCCTATCTGAGTGTGTTGTTGATGTTCTTAAGAATATCAAAGAAATGCAGGAAAAACGTGAGCTTTGAAGGAAAACCATGCAACAACTAATGATAATGAAATTAGAAAATGATAAGACGAAGTTAAACCAACAGGCTGTACAATTAGAACATCACAATCAACTCTTGGCTCAACAACATGAGCAATTTCGTCTGGAGCGTGATCGTGAGGATAGAGAAATACTTTCAATTGATTTGAGTAAGATTGTTGATGTAAGGGAACATGCATTTTTTGAGAGGAAAAAACAACAAATCATTAGCAAAAATAACGGTGATTTTCAATTTGATAGTTCAACTCATGTTTCAGGAGGAACTGGATATTAGGGTCTGTCAGGGTATCTGTACAGCACCGATAGCTATGGAAATGACCTATCGAAATTTTAGCTTGTTGTTACCGTATTTTGCTTATATAATGTAATTTTGTATTTCTGAATGTAGTTCATTTGGGGCGGGTTATATAGATCCCCACATATTTATTTTATTAATGAATATTTTTATTTTATTATATTAAAATAAAATAATTTAAAAATGACTCAAAATATTCAATATTAATCCCATTTAAAAGGTTTCGGCGAGACGGTTCTGAAGGTATAATTTTTGTACAAAAAATGTTAAGTTTTAGTTATTTTATTTACATCATTAGTTTGTTAATGATAGATTAATTAATATAAATATGGAGGGCACCATTGGAGCACAACTTTTGAAAACCCTCTATATTTGAAGAATCTTGAAGAATATTCTCTTCAAACCCTCTAAATATAGAGTATACTATTGGAGATGCTCTTAGGGCTGTACTTCATGACATAGATTGTTATAATTTTTTTTCTGGAGAAATGTACGCAAATGCACTTAATCAAGTATAGAATTTTATGGTTAATGTTGAAGTTGAGTTGGATCACCTAACGTTGCTTACTGTAGGTGTTTAGATTATATTATTATAAGTACATTTCATTCTGCCGATTTGTATTAGTCTCAGATATCTTTCGTTTGATTTTTTTCATCATTCTTATAGCTTAAGTTATCCCCCCCCCCCCCCCCCCCCCCCACCCGTTGATTGAGTTTTGATTTTTTTGATATATTGTATAGATTGTAGTATATTAAATTGGATAGTTTTGAGATTATATATGTACAGTAAGAGATTGAAGATAATAAGTATTTAGATTGGATATATTAATTTGTGAGAATTTTTTCTTTTGATATTCTGTTGATATTAAGAAATGTAATTTACTGTAAGTTTTATATTTTCGAAATGCTGTTGACTCCTAACGGTTTCAGCCTGATGGGCAAATGCCAAGTGACAAGACTGTGGGAGGAGGTGATGATGCTTTCAACACCTTCTTCAGTGAAACTGGTGCTGGGAAACACGTACCCCGTGCTGTCTTTGTCGATCTCGAGCCCACTGTTATAGACGAGGTGAGGACTGGAACCTACCGCCAGCTCTTCCACCCTGAGCAGCTCATTAGCGGCAAGGAAGATGCTGCCAACAACTTTGCCCGTGGCCACTACACCAGTAACTAATCATTACCCTTTTTTCACTTGTGTTCATCGTTTATAACTTTGTATGTAATCCCTTGTCTATTTGTGTTATTGCAGTTGGCAAAGAGATTGTTGACCTCTGCCTAGATCGCATCAGGAAGCTGGCTGACAACTGCACTGGTCTCCAGGGCTTCCTTGTGTTCAATGCTGTTGGTGGAGGCACTGGCTCAGGCCTTGGCTCTCTTCTTCTTGAGCGTCTCTCTGTGGACTATGGCAAGAAGTCCAAGCTCGGGTTCACTGTTTACCCATCACCTCAGGTCTCCACCTCTGTTGTTGAGCCCTACAACAGTGTTCTCTCCACCCACTCCCTTCTGGAGCACACTGATGTCGCTGTTCTTCTTGATAACGAGGCTATCTATGACATCTGTAGGCGTTCTCTTGACATTGAGCGTCCCACTTACACCAACCTTAACCGCCTTGTATCTCAGGTTTTCACTTGCTCTGATCTGAAAACAAGACCATTGAATGTCTTTTTTTTAAACAATTGATAATGCATTGTGTTGTTTGCAGGTGATTTCGTCTCTGACTGCCTCGCTCAGATTCGATGGTGCACTGAACGTGGATGTCACTGAATTCCAAACCAACTTGGTGCCATACCCTAGAATCCACTTCATGCTTTCCTCCTATGCCCCTGTCATCTCAGCAGAAAAGGCCTACCATGAGCAGCTATCCGTTGCAGAGATCACAAACAGCGCCTTCGAGCCTTCATCCATGATGGCCAAGTGCGACCCTCGCCATGGCAAGTACATGGCTTGCTGTCTCATGTACCGTGGTGATGTGGTCCCTAAGGACGTCAACGCTGCTGTTGCCACAATCAAGACCAAGAGAACCATCCAGTTTGTTGACTGGTGCCCCACTGGATTCAAGTGCGGTATCAACTACCAGCCACCGACTGTTGTTCCTGGTGGTGATTTGGCTAAGGTGCAGAGGGCTGTGTGCATGATCTCTAACTCTACCAGTGTTGCTGAGGTGTTCTCGAGAATTGATCACAAGTTTGATCTTATGTATGCTAAGCGTGCCTTTGTGCACTGGTATGTTGGTGAGGGCATGGAGGAGGGTGAGTTCTCTGAGGCTCGTGAGGATCTTGCTGCTCTTGAGAAGGATTATGAGGAGGTTGGTGCTGAGTCGGCGGAAGGTGAAGAGGGTGATGAGGGTGATGAGTACTGAAGTAGCTGATGACTGGTTGTGTTCTATCTGTCTTGTTTGTTTGGTATTGTCTTGATGTTGCTGTAGGTTGTTTCCTGTTGTCTTTGTTCAGTCTGTTGCTTATTGTTTGCTGAACTTCTCAGGCTTGCAATATGTTGAACTCATATTCTGCTTGAATTTGAGTGTTTTTGTTGTTCTTATGTTCTGATAGTTACATCTGTTTGTTTGACTTCTGTTTCAATTATTGTGCTCTGTATCTGTAGCGAGCGTATCAGGTTGTGCTGCTAGTTATTTTGGAGTTTTTATGTGCCAAAGGTGTTTTGTCGCAGCACTTTTTCCCAGCGACTCTGTTCAGATGTAGGCGACTAATTAAGATCGAGTTCAGTTTCCCAATTGGTTGGTGCTAAACGCGGAACAGAGGATGTTGGTTCGAAGTGTTACAGATAAATGTGATTCAAGGTGCGCAAGCTTTTGCACGTATCGAGTCTACACTTGTTACAGGATTTATACTTTTGTTGAAATTTTCTGTATCACCATTACAGTAAACAAGGAAAATATGGAAATTTAATCAAGAGTATAGATTCTAGAGATCATTTGCATTCACATCAAACCAGACACAATAAAGCATAATTTTAACTGGGAGATATTGGTCTTTAAGCTCTCTTGAACAAAGATCAAAGAGAGAATTGTGCGGTTCAGGATTCACAATAACCTAACCAAACCCCCCATCAACTCTCCATCCAAAGATCCATGCACCCAACCCCTTTTTTAAGTTACATACCAGTTTCAAACTTTATTCAAGAACTAACCAACGACATCTCAGTTTCTTTTCACATCTCAGCCTTTAAGGAAGAACCTAGCCTCGGTCCTTCCAGATGCTCTCTGAGCTTGTCCTCTAAATTCACCGTTGACTCCAGAGTCCGCCATGAGTTGGCTGTAGAAATCTGGGTGAGCCCGTGGCGGCGGTGTTGGCTGCTGTTGCTGAGGAGCGTAGATGACGAAAGAAGGAGCAACCATGATGGACTGTGGAACTCTGCATTGTGACTGCTGATATGGCATGGGCTGAGGTGGAGGCATGGGAGGATTCTGCGATAATAGAGTGCAGGTTTGGATTTAGATGACGCCAACTTGACATATTATGTTACAGTTTTTTTTTTAAACCTGCTAGGTTTTGTCGAACAAGCATTTGGTTGAACCGGACGTGTGCAACTACAGTCTCATCTATTTCAATGATTGCATAAATACAAATGATTATTTACCTATTTTTAATTTTATTTTATTTCTTGAAGACTTCTTGCAGAGTATCGATGTAAAATCTTGCTATCATTGGAAGCTGGCTACACGTCAACTTTTAAGAGGTTCTTACTAACCTGGCTATTCTTTACCAAGGAGTTTCTCCGTAACTTAGGCATTAAAAAGTTAATATTGTTTCACTAAGAATTTGTCCTTATTTCTCGCATGATTTTCTGTCAAAACATTTTAAATCTTCAAATATGCAGACCCCTTGAATTCTTATCCAAATGTTTTATAATCGCTGATGCTGTTATGAACCTAGCAAACTCATGGGAGACGACTGACACGGAGAATAGATTGATCTCTCTCTATAACCCTAAGAAATGAAACAAAGAACCAAAAGTAAGAATTCAGTGTCCTCGAGAAATAGGGGAATAAGGCAGATCATGCGTGTCGGAAATGATCTGTACCTGAAAAGTGGCCTGCAAGTAGGCTTGATTATCAGCTACAGCTGCCAAGAACTGCAAGTTACGCTGAAGTTTTGCTTCATACCTGCAGTTGCAAAGACAATAACATTTCATTGCAACAAACAGCACGTAGTAACTCAAAACAAGTGCCTGCAACCGTAACTGCAGCTGCAAGTTACAAAACTTTAAAACTGAAGCAAACAAATGCAATGTAGCTTCCATGCGACAACAACTCCAGTTGCATGCAATTCACCAGTTCATAATTGATGAAACTGAGAGAATTTCACCTGATTATTAAGGTATATTTACAATATCTTACTTGATAATCCCTTTTGCGTATTATAAGGAAGTGAACTTACTGAGCACATTCTGCTTCTCTACCCGCATTCCGATACTGAAGAATGGCAAGGATCAACTGCTTGTTCTCATCTAGATACTACAACATAAAAGCAAGATGTTTAATAGTAATTGAATTTAGACGAAAAAGCAAAACAGAGAAGCAAAGAAAATAATAGAGAAATATAGTCGAACAACATCAAGATTTTGTCAACAAAAAGTTCTCTAAACCGGACATGCTTGCAAGGGAAAAGGACCAGATAGATATTCTTAAACTTCAAATTATGTGCTACTCATAAGATTAAAGAACAAGAATGATGCTATCCATGTAATGAATTAAAAAAAAATCAAATTCTGTTTTACAATTATATATAATTATATAATTATATTAAGATTTTGAATTGCGTACTCTGCCAATTATTACTGGGTCTGGTGCATGAATGTGACACAGCCCCTTTCTCTTTCGCTTTTTTTTTTCTTTTTCCCCGTGAGAAATTGGCATAGCTGTTTATATTTTAGTCTTTCATAACTATTTTCATTTAGTTACTCAAAATGAAAAGAAAAAACTATTTTGATTTAGCCTTACGAATATTTTGATTTAGTTACGAATATGTGTTTGTTGTCCCCGTGGCATCTCTTTAATTGGTAGTAAATGGGTTTATAAGGTCAAGTATCGTCCTGATGGCACCATTGAACGTCGGAAAGCTCGTTTAGTGGCTCGAGATTTTACTCAGCAACAATGTATTGATTATAAGGAGACCTTTGCTCCTGTTGCTCAGCTCTTTATCTGAGACACTATATATGCAACCGCCTCCAGGGTCCAATATTCCTCCGGGACATGTATGCCTCCTTCATCGTGTTGTTTATGGTCTCAAGCAGGCACCCCGCGTTTGGTTTGAGTGTTTTCGCGATGTCGTGCTCAAGACCGGCTTTATGGAAAGTCATCAAGATGCTTTTCTGTTTGTTCGCACTACATTACGTGGGACTAAAAACCTGTTAGGATATGTGAAGCCTAACTATCAGGCGTGCCCTACATTTCAGAAGAGAGGAGAAACAAAGTTGGAACATGATCGACGATGAAGAAGTTCAAGCAAAACGACGAAGGAGAGATTTGGCAGTTTTGCGGTCGACAGGCCATGGCGCGGCGGTCGACCGTCTACGTGCACAGCTGGGTGCACAGGCCAGGAGCTCGTCGCGGTCGACCGTCTGTGGCGCTGCGGTCGACCGCTCAAAGTCCAGAGAGCAGTCCAGAGTTTTGTCTTCGTCGCGGTCGACCGCACATGGCGCTGCGGTCGACCGCCCAAAGTCCAGAGAGCTCGATCAGGAATAGGATTCGTCGCGGTCGACCGCACGTGGTGCTGCGGTCGACCGGAGTCGGGTTTTGGCCCAGATTCGTTTTTTAACCTGATTTGATCTGTTTCCTTGTTTACTTGTTAAACCCTTAAGTCTATAAAAGGGTTGATTAGGGCATGATGTATTAAGACGAAAATTAGTGAATTTTTCTCCTGCGGCGGCCGTGGACGTAGTTTCTCACATTGAGAAGCGAACCACGTAAATCTTGTGTGTTTGAGATTGTTTGATTTTCTCTCTTTTCTCCTAAATCTCTATTTCCAAATCGCATCAGGAGGGTTGTGCATCCCCAACAAGTGGTATCAGAGCGATCAGGTTCGGCGCGAGCGATTTGAGGTCAAAGACAATGGGATCTGAGAAGGAAACATCCAAGATTGAGAAGTTTGATGGAACAAACTTCGGATTCTGGAATGAGAAGGAAACATCCAAGATTGAGAAGTTTGATGGAACAAACTTCGGATTCTGGAAGATGCAGATGGAAGACTACCTCTATCAGAAGGATTGAGAAGTTTGATGGAACAAACTTCGGATTCTGGAAGATGCAGATGGAAGACTACCTCTATCAGAAGGATTTATACCTACCATTGGGAGAGAATCCGATAGATATGAAAGATGCGGATTGGAAGCTATTGGATCGAAAGGCCCTTGGAGTGATCAGGTTGACCTTGTCTAAATCAGTAGCGTTCAACATCAAGAATCAGAATACGACGGCGGATCTCATGGCGGCGTTGTCCAATATGTATGAGCAGCCCTCTGCGGCGAATAAGGTACATCTCATTAAAAAGCTATTTAATTTGAGGATGTCCGAGAGCCAGAAATTCAAGGAACACCTGAACGAGTTTAACGAGATCACGGATCAACTAAACTCGGTCAATATTCAGTTTGACGATGAAATCCAAGCCCTCTTGATACTTGGTCAATTGCCCGACAGTTGGATGGGTACCGTTATCTCGATTAGCGGATCATGTGGCAAATCAAAACTGAAGTTTTCAGAGGCGGTGGACATGATTATGACTGAGGAGATTAGAAGGCAAGAGGAAGGGATTTCTAATTCAGGGTCGGCGTTGAATCTTGAGAGCAGAGGAAGAAACAGAAACAAAAATAGAGGGAATAGCCGAGGAAGATCTAACTCGAGGAACGGAAGGCCAAAGTCCAGGAACCGCAAGGGCAAGAAGGAAATTGACTGCTGGAATTGTGGCAAGTTTGGCCACTATGAAAATCAGTGCCGAGAACCCAAGAAAGACAAGGAGAACAAGACTGAAGCGAACGTGGCCTCAGGAGAATCAGATGATGCCCTAATCTGTTTGTTGGAGAGCAAAACTGAATCGTGGGTGCTAGATTCAGGAGCTTCGTTTCATGCTACCTCAAATAGAGATTTTTTTGAGAACTACGTTTCAGGAAACCTAGGAAAGGTCTATCTTGGTGATGATCATCCTTGTGATATTGTTGGCAAAGGAGTCGTGCAAATCAAGCTCAATAGGTCTACATGGAAGCTGAGTGATGTGAGACATGTTCCTAGCTTGAGGAAAAATCTAATTTCCATAGGACAATTGGCGAAAGAGGGATACGTATCAACCTTTGCATGTGATACATGGAAGGTTACAAAGGGATCCATGGTTGTTGCCCGTGGTACGAAGACGAGATCTCTCTACATGACGATAGATGCACGAGGCTCCATTGCAGTGGTTGAAGGCAGTGAAGACCCAAATTTGTGGCACCAGAGGTTAGGTCACATGAGTAGCAAAGGCTTAAAGGTTATGCAATCGAACGGAAAGTTACCAGGTTTGAGATCGGCTGATATTGACCTATGTGAAAGCTGCATTCTAGGGAAACAAAAGAGAAT